GGGTTTTGCTTCGCCTGCACACAGTTCTTTTTTCAGAATTTCCTTTGCGAACTGGTTCGCCACCTATTTTGCCCTCGGAGTAGTGCGATAGGGAATACACTTGGACGGACGTGGAATTCCTGCGGAAGCTTTCACGCAAACACCGCAGTGGCGTCAGCCAGACGGAGAAAAACCTTTTTCCAACCATCCGTCCATTTTCCCCCCACCACCCACCACCCTCTCTGAATCAAATGCGCCTAGAAGGGATGAAAACGGCGGTGGAAAAAAAACACACACACAAAAAAAAGCAGGAGGGAAAGAGGAAGAACGGAAACGGAATGCCCTCTTTGCGGTGGGTTCGAATACAGATAGGCCTGTGAGACACTGGGTGGTGCGGACGGGGCTGGCAGCCTGACAAGCTCCACACTGATGGATGGTCTGGTAAGCCCCTGTACCCCCCCCCCCCCCCCCCCCCCCCCCCCCCCCCCCCCCCCCCCCCCCCCCCCCGCTTCAACAACACATGAGGTCGAGACTTCCCGCACTTGGGATGTATTTTTTTTTACCTTTTCCTTATTCGGCCGGCCATACGATATGACGCCGACGACGTCGCGGAAGACAACAAAACCTTCGAACTACGCGGAACTCTGCAGGCAGCCTCCCTCCGCCACCCACCCCTACCCGCAGCGGCAGGTGTACAGGTGTCCCGCGCACAGATACGGTATCACACTAAAGATTATATAAACTTTTCCTCACAACTGTCAACAATCACGATGGCTTTTCTTTGACGACTCCGCTCGCAAACCTATACAATAACAACCTCAAAATTATAGAATGGTGAGAAAACCAAGTAAATTGCAAAATTCCTTTTTTTTTTTTTTGCAGTGGCTGAGCGCGAGGTGGTGGTGCGATGGGGGGCTTAACGCGCGGGCCGCGGGCGCAGCGCTGCCACTCAAAACAATTCGCCCTCTTTTCAACACCCCCTGCAGCAACACAACTTCTGATCCACAACACATAACGCATCTCCTTTGTTGTAATAAATTTACTTTCCACAGAGTAGCCAGGCCACACTGATAGTTAAGGGCGCGGCTATGATTAAGAATTATGTGGACCAGATTTTTAAAACTTTTCTGTGCTATCGTGTTTTGGCAAATGGCATATTTTGGATTGGTATCTTGCTTGAGATGTTGCGTCGTGGCGTCCGTCTCGCTGACGATTGTTGATTTAACCCTGTAGATGTAAGTTGTAGTCAAGCCATGCTCTGACAATGCATATTATCCAGGGTGCATTGCTAAAATTGTTGCACGCTACGTGTGCACCTCAGACTCTCAGATTCCTTATCGAGGTTTTTGTTTCGTGCTATAAACAATTCTGTGCAACGGCAAGGTAACAACGAAATTGTCATCAGAGACTAACACATTTGTTTGCTGTTGTCAACAAAAAAAATCTTGGTGGATAAGAAAAGGAAAAAGGATATCAAAAATTTTGTGGCGACCTATTAACAAAATTGTTGATACCTTTATCGTTGCTCAAATCGGTTGATAGTTTACCTAAAGTCACTTAGGGGTATACGGCCCATTCACCCAAGCCCTCTTCACCCACGGGACAACTAGACCAAACCCCATAGGCCCACTGAATTTTCACCCCTTATTATTCATCC